CGCTGGCTGGCCCAACCCCAGGAGCCTGTGCTGTGACCCCCCCAGCCTGGCTGGCCCCACGGCAGCTGCAGGACACCCAGTGCTGGTCGTGGGCTGCGGGGGGGAGACGTCCCCATTTGCTGTCCTTACGGAGGTTTTGCACAGAAGCAGCCCTCTGTGCCCACCAGGTCACCCAGCGAGACCCACGGCAGCCCTGTCCCTTTCTCCAGTCACCCATCACAGTATCACCTCTCCTCCAGGCCCCAGCTTTAGGAGCCGTGCCAGGGAGAGGATGTGGAGTTTAACAAAAAGGCTGAGGAAGCATTTGGAACTAAAAAAAGGAGATAAAAGTCATCAGCATCCTTCCAGTCTGCACCTCTCACGGCTGGCCGGCTCCTCTGGCATCTCCACAGCCGCTGCGGTCCCTGGAAGGTTTCCAGCTGCCGCGGCCACGCTGGTGGGAGCGCGTGTTAACCAAGATCGGGAGAGCTTTGCCACTCAGAGCTACATTTCAATATCAAACGCATAGCAAATCTTCCCATTTCCCTTTCCAGACCAGAGGGATGAAGCTCATCAGGAAACTTGCAGCTGCTTAAGACAGAAGGAAAAAAAAACTTACTGCAATTCAGCAACTTTGCTGAAGTCACTCTGGGAGTCCGCACAGAGCGGGTCTGCAGTGCAGGGAGGGCCAGTAACGAATGGAGCTGCCACTGGATTCAGGACTCAGAAAATAGACAGCTGGTGAGGACTCCCTTACCTTCCTCTGCCTCGGCGGGGGTCAGGTGGCCCCAAATCCTCCCTGAAGCCTCCAGCAAGGAGGGAAATGCCACCCTGTGCTCCAGCCAAAGCTTTGCCGTTGCTTTGCTGCATGGGACACCCATGATGCTGCGTGCTGCCGACAGCTCGCTCCTCTCCCTGCAGCGGGCTCTGAGCTGCTGCTGTGCGGCAGGGTGAAAGCCGGGAAGAACTGATGCCCAAATCCTTCCAGGCTTTGGCATTTTGAAGATACTCTGCAAGCTTTATAGGGAGCACAACCTAGAAAGGGCCTTTCTGGGCCCTCCTTGTAGAGGCTCACAGAGCATCACTCTCCCACTGTATTTTGTTAGCAGGGAAACTGAGGCAGACAAGGCTTGCGTGGGGTAAGGCAGCAGGTTTGAACCTGAGCACCGCTCGCCCTCTGCATCAGCCAGTGCTGCTCTGGGCAATGCCTGCAGGGGCTGGGGCATGCGAGCAGCAGAGCAGCACGTCACTCTGGCAGGACTTTTCTGCCCTCTCCTGAAAGCAACACAAGGACAGACTTGTCTCCGCAGGATAGAGGACTCAGCGTGGGGAGCCCAAGGTGCAGGATGCGCACCCCTTCCCCACTCCCCAAAAACACAGTGCCAGCTGATGTCCACTCCTTGCCTTCCCTAAGAAAGGATTCAAGGCAGACAGGCAAGAAACCCTGTCCGCCCCTGCTGTGAAGAGTTTTCAAAACACCACACCAGCAGACTCTCGGGGAAGGTGACCACCTCTGGGGAGAAGCACAGCAGCAGTGCGCAGCATCGCACAGCACCCCAGGAAGGGCTAAGCAGTGCAGTGAGAAGTGGGTTGGACCGAGCTTGGACTTGGCTCTGTATCTTAATACTGAAAGCTTTACAAAGGCAGTCCTAGGACCAGCAGAGGACTGCAGAGATTTTTCCTCTTGCACTGGCAGGGTAAAGAGCAGCTGAAGTGGCTCCATGGCTCTAATTTTAAGACAGAAGTAACATGGTCACAGCTAGTCCTTCTGTACTGGGAGGGGCTCTGTGCTTGCAGATGTGTCTGGCGCATCACTGGGACTCAGCAATCCCTCAGTCTCTCCCAAGGGTCTTCATTCTTCTGGGAAGATTGCAACCCAAGTCAGGAGGGTCCATAAGAAATACTTTTGGCAGTGATTGAGTAATTTCATTATTAAACAGAGGATGATAAATGTATTTATAAATCCAGAGAACACCCGTAACCATGCCACCTTGGTACATTCATTCTTCAGGATTTAACTACGCATTACATATCCTCAGTTACTATCATGGGAACATGAAGGTGCCCATGTTCTTTGTACCCCTGAACCGTGGGGCTTGATTACCTGTGTCCTTGACGCATGCATGCATGTATTTCCCCATGCATGTCCCAGCAGGCATGTGCTACATCTGTGCAGGGCTGGATTCCCACAGGAGACATCCATCTGCGGTTCCCATGTGTCCCTGCAATACTGGCTCTGAGGGATGCTTTTTTGAATCCCTTTGTTGTCAGAAAGGGATCCAAGATGGAAAAAGAAAACAGAAAACCTAAAGTATAGACAGTTTTAACTGTTGCTGCGATTCCTAACGCGGTAGCGGCGCCCGCCCTGGAGGCTGGCCCCAGTGCTCGGTGGGGAGGTTGCACCGCCAAAGCTCTCCGAGGCAGCCCTGCTCAGACCATGGGGCAAGCCTCCGGAGTGGCCTGGGAGCCAGCAGGACAGGAGAGGGCTGGGGATGTGCATCTCGCTGCCATCTGGGCAGGGGCATTTCAAAGGCACGTCTCAAGACAGTGCTAGGACAGTGGGACAAGAAGCACTGCCCAGACTTTAGCCTCAGCTTCCCAAGCACCTTGTGCATGGGAGCAGGACCTGGACCGGCCACAGTAATCCTCCGTGGTTCCCAAGTAAGGCTGCTCCACTGGGCTTTGGGGACTCAGGGACATGTTCAGCTCCTGCCAGTGACCAGCACACGCCTCTGCAAACCAAGGACCAGAGTCTGGTTCCCAACAGCACCTGGCAGCACATTGTGGGGACACGCACTGTTCCCACCGCCCATGGCTCTGGTGGAAAAGAGGCCAGCCACACATCGATAAAATGAATTAGTTGTCTCAGCAGCACCGGCAAAATAAGCAAGAGGAGTGGAGCCCGTGAGGCCCGGCCTGCTTTGTTTCAATTACAGCAGCTGCCAGAAGAAAAAGATAACCTCGATATTGATGGCAAAATCAGCAGACAGAGGTGCCCTTGGGGGCTGTTGGGAGCAGGTAGAGGAGGAAGAGGGGAGGGGGAGGAGGAAGAGAGCGAGAGAGACAGAGGAGGGGATTGGGGTCTCTGCAGGACCCCACACTTCCAGCTCTCAGCACAGCCAGGGCCAGTGCCCCACGGGAGAGTGGGGCCAGCTCCACTGGGCTGGTGAGAAAGACCTGCCTGATCGCACTGCCTTTGTCACCATGGGGGCCATCTCCTGTTCATCCTGGCTCTTGCCCCGGCCACTGGGCAGAGCATGCCCCGGCAGCAGTGAGTGGAGGGATGAAGTCTTCCGGGACATGGGGCAGAAATTCAGCTCAGAGAGTCTGTGACAGGACAAGCACCAGCGTATGGACTCAAATAACACTAAGCAGAAAAGCCATCTCCTTCCTCCCCATCAGCAGTGAGAAGGTACCTAGACCCCCCAGTGCTCCACAGCCCTTCCAGCCTGGAGCATCCCCATCTTGCCACGGGCCCCATGCTGCCCTCTCCATCACACAGCCCCCTCTCCCATCACACACACACATATCCTTCACTGATCCCTACGCTGGAGGACTGCCCCATGTCCATGCCACCATGAGGACAACTGCAGCATCTCAGCAGCTCACTGTCAGCTCTAGTCACCTCTCAGCAACACCAGCAAGGAGTGGAGCAGTTCCCTGGGCAGGTGGCGGATAGCGTGTCAAGCGAACAGATCTGCATTGCACAATCCCATCCTCACGCAGCACAGGTGGGGAGAGTCCCAACATCTCCAGCAGCTGCAGTGTGGGCTGAAGCAAACCTCACTTGAAGCTCTTGCAAGTTTCAGGCCTCAAAGGAATACTGTGAGGTCCTGCAAGGTCTGGGACCCACCAGCAACCAGATGGTAGTTGCTATTTAACTTAACGAGGCTTCAGGCTCACCCACAACCTCGACTTGTACTGGGTCTCTGCAAACCCCCGTTCAGTCTCTCTTCTTTCTCTCTTCTCCCCACATCCCCCCAGCACTCCCCTGACCAGCTCTAATCCAGCAGGATCTCTGTCCCCACAGCCCTCTCCGCCCTACAGCCCAGGGCAGGTAGCCCCACATCACACCTACAAGGCAGGCATCCAGGTTCCCAGCCGAACTTCCCCCAGGCAGTGCAGGGGTAACGCTCTGCCCTCAGAGAGGCTACGCCCTGGGTTCAAACCCTGCTTTCCCCAGGCCAGAAAGTAATAGGCAGGTGTGAAAAGATGGGTGTTTCTTCTGTCTCACCCCCCACTTACCTCCATTCCCTCCTCAGGGGAATGTAAATCTCCCCTCCAGCTCCTTTGTGGAGTCCACATGCTGCCCAAATCCCTCCGTGCTGGGAGAGACAGCTAGGGCCTTCCCGCACCACCCCAAGCCAGGGCTGAGTGAGACCCCCGCCCTCTCTGGGAAAGGGGCACCAGCAGAGGCCGGGCTGAGCAGGATTCACTTCACAGAGGTTTTATTCATGATCTCGATATTCACATCCTCCTCAGACCACCGACCTCTCTTCCCCTCCAGGAGAGGCCCCAGGATCTTCAACCACATCCTGCCAGGGCTGTGGGCCCTGGACACGGCCCCTGGGTTTCTGAGAGGGGGCAAGGCCACCATCTTGCGGCCACCCATCACCACTGCACATACCTGTGTGCAAGGCGTGGAGGTCCCCAGGATGTGGCAGCTTTGGGGGTACAGGGTTTGGACCATCACAAGTGGTGATTTCCCATCAGCACCTACTCCTAACACCCTCAGCCTCTGCCCTCACGTCTCACGGGGCACACACTGCCCCTCCATTTGCTCCCCAGCCAAGATGCCCAGGGATGTCAGGATGGGCAGAGGCTCTGCTGGCCAGCTCTGCTCACAACCCAGTTCTGGTCTCTCCACCCCTGTTCTGCTGCTCCATGCAGTGTCATCCCGCAATGACCAGGGAGGTCCCAGTTTGCACCACGGGCTTCATTGAGCATGGAAAGGCAGGCATCAGCAGAGGAAGAGTCAGAACTGAGCTCTAGGGCATAAAAGGCAGCATCTTTTGGTGTCCAAGGGGGATTTTCATCACAGGGTGGGAATATGACCCACATGAGGGATGCTGAAGGGGGTTGTTATATCAGTGCTGCTGGTGGCCAGCAGCCTGAGGGACCAGCCAATGCTTTCAGGCCTCTGGGAAGTGGGTTGGCAAGGTTTGCACAGCACTGGGTTCACCAAGGTGGCCCAGCCCTGCTTAGTGGTCATGTTGCTCCTTCTGTTCCTGCCTTTTTGGATTGGGCTTGCCATGGTCTCTGTGGCGGTGGAGACCATGGGCAGCAGGTTGGTGGTCCCCACTGGGGTCTGAGGCTTTCTCACTGCTGACCACGTGGTGGTGAGGATGGAGAGGGTTGTGCTGGTGAATGGGGAGCTCTGGCTCCTTCTCCTGTTCAGGAAGTGGGCTCGGGTTTGCAGGGACCACCATGGTGCTGTTAGCCTGGGGAAAGTAACACAAAGGTTGATGTGTTATATGAATGCACACACTGCCCCACAGTGACCTTGCAAGAGCATATGTATGCTGGGATAAAAGCAGAGGAGCATCAGTCATAAGGAAAGCGGCATGGGTCAGAGAAAAGCCTCTCCAGACAGAATCCAGCACAGAGGGAGGACAGAAGAGATCAGAGCACACAGAGAGCAAACATCTTTACGCACATCCCTTGGCTCAAGCTGACCGTGGTCCAGAGAATTCCTATGCCAGAAAAGAGCCTTTGCGTTTAATAGTCCTAGACGGATTTTTTTTCTATGATGTGTCTAATCACCTGCTGAGCCCAGAGCCCGGAGCTATGTGTTTTTCTTTGCTCTGAACTTGCCACAGCTGGGTCCATTGCATCCCCCTTCCTTATATCAGAAGAGACAATGACCCTAGTTAGACTTTCCAGGCCACTTGTTATACTCCTCTACTATAACCCTTTCAGTCCCCTCCTTCTCAGCCTGCAAAACCCTGATCTATTTAACTACTGTTATTCCAGAGCTTTCACCACCTTCCCTCTCAACCTCTTCCAGTCCTACCATCAGCAAGAGTAGATTTGCACACAGGCTTGAAGATGTGGTGCAGCATGGGTTTACACAAAGGCATAACAGCATTTTGTTCTCCATTCCATTTTTAACATTAGATTGGGAGGGGGGAGGTGGAATTGCTCTATTGTGCACTGAGCTGGTGTTCTCACGAAATTAATCCCTAAAGCTCCTTTAAGATCCCATGGCTGAGTGTGACTACCAGCCTAGAGTCCACCCCCTAGATGAAGGCAGATGAAGGGTGGTTTTGTCTGATGTGCACTGCTATTCATTTATTCACACTGAAATTCATCTGCACTTGCTCATTCACCCAGTACCCTGAGGTCCTTCTGCAGCTCCTTGCAGTTGGCTTTCAATTATACAATCCCAAATAACCCAGTATCATCAAACTCTCTCACTCCTCTGTTCCCTGAAGCAGCCCTTTCTCCCCAGCTGCTGCTGAAGATGCTGAACAGCCCTGCTCCTGGTACAACCTCTGTGCAACTGCAAGAACCATCTACTTACCGCCAGCTTATTTCCTACCTTTTAACCAACTTTTTGTCCATGCAACAGCCTCATCTCCTACACCACCACTGCCTTTAAGACCTTTGGGGGAGAACCTCACTGTTCACCTTTTGGATGCCTCAGCAGACTCAGGAGACCTCCCCTCTGTGCAGGTTTAGGAGCCACGCCTCCTCTCCCACAGCGTGTTGGCTGTGCCCCAACACATCCTGCCCATCTGTGGCAACATATATTTTATGCTTTATTTGTCTCTGCCGATTTGGATGTCAGAGCCAGAGCTCTTATTCACTGGATCCTCCTTTTTAAAAACAAGCCTGGTTTTAGCCATCTTCCAGGCTTCTGAGACTGAGGCAGATTTCCATGAGAAGTCACCTGCTGGAGACAAGCAGCATGGGCTGCATGGGGGGAGGAACTGCCGTGGGTCCCTGCTGGGATGCTGAGACCCAAAGCGGTCAGCCTGAAGCCAGAGTGGATCAGCTCAAGAGAAGAGACAGGAGTCCAGGTCTGGTAAGTGCCCAACCCGCACTGCGAGCTGCTTCTTACCTCCTGGGTACTGTTGGGGTAGAGGGAGCAGTTGCCGCAGAAGTCCTTGCTGTAGGTGAAGCGGATGGCTGACTCAACGTAGGGGAAGTGTAGGAAGCTGTAGGGCAGCTGGATGTGGAAAGCTAGGCGGGCACAGCTGTGGGGCAAAGCGAGGGCTGAGCTAAAGGGGCTGAGAGGGGCGATCCCCCTTCTGCCCCCCAGCCCAGCGATGGGGCGCTGAGACGCTTCACTCGGGCAGAAAGGAGCAACTCAGCCCGGCAACCTTGCCTTCTCACAGCCCTCGGCTAACTCCTGCCCCTCCTGATGCCAGGCCAGCCCGCACAAAGCAATAACCCTGCCTGCAGGGAGCCTTTTCTGCATGCAGACAGCAAAACGCTAACATGGCCCTGCAGCTGGGGAAACTGAGGCGCAGGCAGTGCAATTTGCATCCACAGCCAACCCACACGCCTCTTCCAGCCCCGTGCAAGGCCCTCGTGGCGGGAAGCGCTCAGATCGCACCGAGGTGCTCTGTAACGACTCACGCAAGTCTCAGACCACTGACTGTCTTGGTGGAAAGCCCTGAGCTTTACTGATTGGAAATCCCTTTCCCCACCTCTGGCAACACTCTGCCGAGCTGGGATATCGGGCCATGGAGATAGGGGGAAGGATGGCTATTTTATAAGACAGGAGGCATCCAGCCGTGCTGGTGACTACATCCCCCAGTAACCGTAGGGGAACACGATTGAAACCTAGGACCACTAGCGGTAGGAGTGATTTTGGCCACAGCAGCCCAGCTGAGGGCAACCAGAGGGCACCCGAACCCGCATTCCCTGAAGTTTTGGGACAGCAGAGAGCTCTCAGCTCTCATGTTCCCCGTCAGGGCTTTCTCGGCTGCAAACCTTTCTCCGGGCCCCGGGGACACTGAGGGAAGGTGGACGAGGAGGGTAGGGCCATTGGGTGCCTGTGCAGCCCTGTCTCCTCCCCGTTGGCCGGCCGGCCCGGCGCTGTGCTTAGCGGCTCCCCCCTCGCAGGACCTCCACGGCCGGCCCCAGCGGCAGCCAAAGTTCAAGGGCCGGCGGAGCACGCTGGGCTTGGAGCACCTCCCGGGGACAGCGCTCCCAAAGCGGGAGCCGGGGGTGCTGGCCC